TCGACATTGCAGTCGCCACTCGATGGGGCCCTACGCGCTTTCAGCGAATCAATTGGCCCGTTTGGTGCGGTGGACATGTACCACGTGCAATATCCGCCGTCGCTTGCGATGCTGGTGCGCGATATCCGTGAAGCGCTCGGTGTCATACTCGCCAATACGAGCTCGAACGCTCAAGAAGATTACGCCAACCTCATTTTGATGAGCTCGATGAGTCCCGTCCCACGCCGCCTCGATCGAAACATGTACCTCTGCGCGAGCGGCAACATATTCTGCGGCCAAGTGCCTCGGGACTTCAACTTTTCGTACGGTCTCTGGCAGTTTGGTGGCGCCGACGCGGCATGTTACTCGAGCTTCAACGAGTGGGTCTCGGTCTCTCCGATGCAAGCCATCTTTAGCGTCTTTGGCGCTGGGATCCCACTCGACCCGACGACGTTGATTCCGGTAGCATGTGCGGCCGAAGCGGTGGTGCCAACTCTGTGTCTGGCTTTTCTCGATAGCGTGTCGCGTTTTGTATCGAAATATGTTGCGACGAGCACTCTCCAAGCGTACCGATCGCGAGCAATGGCCATCGAGGCCGACGTCATGGCCACCTCGGTTGGCATCACGCAATACGCTCGGCACGTACCGACCAACGGCGTAGAGATCTTCCATCAGCGACTTTTTGATCCGTTCGATGCGACCATGAAGTACACGAGCTATGCGCTTGCCTACGACTGGGTCGTCGGTGGGCGAGAGGCCATTCGGGTTGACGGCGACGCTAGTACTGTGGCATTCCTCTCGACAGTGTCATTTGCGGCGTCGTTTGCAGCAAGTAGCATCGAGGTACCGCGCAACGTTGCTGCGTATCTGCGGGGCCTTTGTCAGTACATTTCATTCGTGCTCGTGGCCCTCGCTTCTGTCACCGCATTATACGCACTTTTGGATGGAAGCTTGAGCGAAGGCTCCAACCTCTTCAAGGTCAACCGCGTCGGTGGCATGGTCTGGGTCGGCCGGCCGCTGCTTTTGGCGCGCAGCTTCACCGCGCTGTGTATTCTGAGCACAGCGACGCTCCAACTAAAGAAGAATGGGATCACAACTGTCTTGACATCATCCCGTGGCGATGTCTCGGAGGCAGTTGTCATTGTGACGCAGATCCTCGCGGCCGGCGAAGTCGGCTGGCTCGTCTACATCTTTGATGACATTTGCATGCCACTGACTCAAGAGCTCAGTGCTGCGTACGCGTTCAAGGCGTCCATCCTCACGTGGTTCATTGTTGCTGCCCTCAGCTTTACGAGTCCCGTCTCGCACAGCGCCACGATCCAGCGATCATGTACGCTAGTTGAAATGGACTTTGAGTTGGTGTGCCACAGCGGCGTCGTCGCCATTGGCTCCTTCAGTCGCTTTTGTCTTCTGGTTGGGATCGCACTGGGCGGTTCGACGCTACTGTTTACAATTGTGAGACTCCGACGTCCCCGTGTGCCCCTCGACGAGCGCGACTCGCACCTCCTCTCGTGCAGTGCCAAGTACCTCTTTGAGAGAAAAGGTTGGGTCCACGACCGCATTTACTTCATCGATTTTGCGTCCGCAGCTTTGACCGGTCTCCTCGCCTGCCGCAACAAGAGTGACCTCTACGTGTTTGACATCAAGACGTGGCGCACGCTCGTGTTAACGCAAGCAGCGATTGACGAGGCGACGTCATTGCATCCATCGGCATATCGTCTGCGGCGCGCCCTCCCGCTCGTCGAATAAGACTCGGCAACTAGTAGAGCTAAAATGTGCAACATATTCCAAGCCCAATCTTCAATATGAGTACTCGCTGAAATAAGCAGAAACAAGCTGATATATCATGCACTCGATATGCTATTTTGTCCCATCACCAAGTTTCTTGGGCACCTTGTCGAGCAAGACTGCAATGCGAGCGAGGTCGTACTTTTCGGCCGCGACAAGGATCGCGGACGCAGCAATGTCCTTGTTCTCGACGACGTCGCCTTGGGTTTCCCGCCGGCGCTGGTCCTGGCCGACCTTGAGTACATTGCTCACTTCGGAAATACCCACGTAAATGTTGTAGTTGTGAAGAAGGCCTTCGTGCACCTATGTCCATAACTCACAATTTAACTTTGAATCAGGAAACCTACCTGCTTGGCAAGCCCGAACCGCCGCTTTTCCCACTGCTCTTCCTGCGCGCGCTCGTTGGCCGCTGCGATTTTGGCGTTGATGGCCACGCGCCACGGCCGACCGCGCTCCCGGTCGTGCACGTCGCCTTCGGACGGATTGAAGTCAATTTTTCGACGCTGCTGACTCCGGAGCGCCACCGTCGACTCGAACGCCGCGAGGTCGCCCGCCTCAAGGCTGTCGAGGCTCGTCTCGGCGCCGTCGCACGGCGTACCGTCACCAAACGCATCGTGCTTGCGGTCGTTGGCTTGGTCGCGCGTCATAATCGTTGTCGAGGGGCTATTTTGAGCCGGGCCGGTGTTACCCTACCCCCACCCTAGCCCTCTCCGGTGGAGATAACCCTTCAACGCCCGACTGCCCACGATAGCAAGGTAACTTTCACACGAATTACGTCTAATCATTCCAATTACAGGCTAGCATAGCGGCAAGCGGTGGCCGAATGCGAGGCTCTCATCTAGTCTAGTCGAGACGCACTACACAATGTTTTTTTCGAAAAACGGCTGGTTGGCGCGGACGCGCTCCAAGCCAAAGCACGAGAGGTCCAGACTCGTGTAGCCGCCGTCGAGGATGAGTTCGGCGACGCCGCGCCCGGCCGCCGGCGACTGCTGCAAGCCGTGGCCGCTAAACCCGTTGATGCAGTAGAGGTTCTTGCGGTCCGGGTGCTTGCCAATGATAGCGTTCTACGCATGAAGCATGAGTCGCTACGATAAAGGGTCGAGACGCATACGTGGTCGAACGTGTTGTAGTCGTAGAACCCCGCCCAGGCGTTGACCATCTTGATGGCCTCGAACGCTGGCACGCGGTTGGCGATCGTGGGCCAAATGACATCGTCAAAGAGGTCATAGTCGGGTTGGAGCAAGTCGTCGCTCTCGCAGTCCGGGTCGCTGTCCGCATCGGGCGAGACACCGCAGATGAACTGCCCCGAGCAGCCTTCTGGACGAAAGTAGACGCCGGACGGGTCCACGACGAGCGGCGAGCACGCGTCACCCGTCCATTTAGCGGCTTCGGGGCACTGAAACACAAAAATGGTGCGTTTTCTGGCACAATTGAGTTTGAGACGAGGAGAAGACAATATTGGTGTACCTCGCGCGGACGGGCAAATCGTTGACGCCGGCGGCCGACGCGGTCCATTGCGCCCACGCGCCACCGGCATTGACCACGTGACCGGGCGTGACGCTAAGAGTGTCACCACATGTGGTCTGGATGTTGACGCGCTCGATCGTGTCGTTGGCCACCGTCATCGGGCCGTCGAGTTCGCCTTCGATAAACTCGACACCGAGGTGCGCACACTTGCGCTTGAGCCCCGTGAGGTACGCCCAGGGATCAAACCAGCCTTCGTCGCGGACGCCGAGCGCACCAGCAACAACGTCGGCCGTCTCGAGCCACGGAAAGCGCTGCGAGAGCTTCTCGGGCGTGAAGAGTTCGACGGGCGCGCCCACCGATCTAGAGTACCGCGCCTGAGCACCACAGTCCACGAAGAAGGGACGCACCGCTGGACTGCGTGGTTGTTGGCCAACGTCGACCGGCCCTTCTCGGTCGCGAGAAAGAGGTACCCGTTCTCCACAAAGTTGACGTCGACCGGGTCGTGGCCGGGCACGGCGAGCGTCTCGGGCGCGTTGCGTAAGAATGAGAGGCCGTATTGGCTCATCTCAATGTTGGGTTTTTCCGAAAACTGCATGCGGATGCCACCGGCCGAGAGCACGGCCGACGTGCGCTTGTACTATGGAAGCGTGAGCAGAAGTAGAGATGCACTGTGCGCGACGTACCGCAAAACTCCGCTCGAGGACCGTGATGCGCAGCGAGCCGGTGGCCTTGGCGGCCAAGTGGTAGGCGGTCGAGCAGCCCATGACGCCGCCGCCGACGATGAGCACGTCGCGTACCTTGCTACTGGCCATCGTTGCGCAATGCTGCAAAGTGCAAACTGAGGACATCCTGCAAATCACAACCGTGTCATGTCGACCTGTAGGGCAACCAAACTTCAACTGCTGAAATGAGGGAACTTCTCTTCTTTTGTACGATTGGCCGATTGCGCAATCCTTACGTACATAGAGCACAACGTTGATTTAAGGGAATAGACCGGCAGATCAGAAAGGCAAACGGCGCGGACGAGCAGCGAAGCAAGCCGATGATGCACGGGTTGCAGGAAGGCGCTTAGTCTTGACGTAGGCGCCGGTGCTGACGACCTTCGTGAAGCGTAAAGGTACTGCGCCAAGGGTGCTGCCAAGCTGCGAGAATTTCACGGCCGTCAATGTACGACGCACGGCCCGAAGCGACGAGCGCAGCAACTAGGCAAAGGAGGCGGCGCATGCGTGAAGTCCAAAGTTGGGAAATGACACTGCGCCAACAACTTTAGAGGCAGAACTCGAGCCAGAGACATCAAGATTTGCCGACTATAAATGTACGGAGACGTCAATTTGGAGCAGATTTACGGTGGAAAAGCCAGTCGGTTTCGATGGCGCATTTGGCGGGCCGGTGTTTTACATGGGCATTGGCGAGCAAATTCGAGTCGCGCGCCAAGTCTCTAGCATATTCCCTTGTATATGTACTTGACACGAAAGATCAATGCGATGCAGCCGAGTATTTTGGATCGCGTCAGGCTTTTGTAAGGGTGGGCTAGAGTGCGGATCTTTCGGCCAGCTGCTGCTTGTCGACGGTCGTCATCCAAATGGCCATCGAAATGCAGATTTTGAAATGCGTATACATTCCGTATACACGTTTTGGACGCCTTCCTTTTGCAGGGCTCGAGCTATGGCACCCGACGCATTTGTCGCTTTGTATCGTTGCAGTTAAATGTTTGAGAAACGAGCAAGCCAGAGTTGGCACTTGGTCGTTGGCGACGATCTGCGTGCCGATGGTGGCCCTATTCGCCAAGTGATAGCTCTCGTCAGCTCTGGTAGGCTCCTGGACTCGGATCCCAAGACAAGACGAGTGTCATGCCAACGGAACCGTTCGAGCGCGCCTCGGAATCCTTGTCTGGATCCATCCGGTAGCAACAAGTGCCTGGACCCGACAGGGTGATTAGGCGACTGAAGGTTGTGGCGGAGGGCTATGAGATGCCAAGTACCTCTTTGAGAGAAAAGGTTGGGTCCACGACCGCGTCTACTACATTGACTTTGCGTCCGCAGCTTTGACCGGCCTCCTTGTCTGCTCGTACAAAGGCGACCTTCATGTCTTTGACATCAAAACGTGGCGCACGCTCGTGCTGCATCGCAGTGACCTTCGAGCTGCCACAGCGTCGCACCCGTCGGCGCCGCACCTCGCCCGCGCCCTCCCGCTCATCAAGTAGATGGCCGTTAGTGTCTCATATGTCCCTCTCCACAGACGTAAGAGCGAGTATATCTCCGCCCTTGTCGTTCAAACTGGACAAACTGTCTTGTCAACGCATGTACTCTGCTTGCAAGCGGGAAAGACATCGCACAATAGAGACTCGGACGAAAAGTCGCAGTCGCCGTGGAAGGAATGACAACTAGCAATTCGATTCTAGTTGTAGACTGCATCGACGACTTGATCCAGCACGCTGAGGTAGTACTTGGCGTAGTACGGTCGGTAGTGGTCGTTGTCCTTGAGAATCGGCTCGCCGCGGGCCGTCGACACAACTTCGCACACGTCGTTGTAGCACTGATTGCGTGCATAGTCGACGATCGTCGCGTTTGCGCCACGAATCGCGCCTTCGAGGAGCGACACCAGTCGGGAATGCTGGTGGCGGTACGCCGAGAGCCGGACGGGGGCGATCGCTCGGACGTCACCGCCCTGGAGCATGTTGCGGTAGTGGAAGCGACGGCCTTCGGGGTTCAAGCTGGACGCAAATACGTGGGTGCCCAGGTCCTGGAAGCGGGTCATTTCGTCTTGAAAGGCTCGGAGCAGCGTCCTTACGTCGCCCCAGCTCTGGTAGGCGCAGTCGTCTCGATATCCCGCGGCGCAGCAACGTGGCACGTCGTGCGGCGCCTCGCCAGTTGGTCGAAAGAACTGCGGCCAGTCGCTCGAGTAGAGCAGTGCCTTGGGCCGGAGACGGGTCACGATCGCCACATGACCAGCGTGGTCGCCGACGCAGTCCAGCGGCGGGTGGCCACCCAGCGCCAAAAACACCACCGTCGGAAACGGCTTTCCCACGCGCCGCGCTTGGTCGTAAAGAAACTTGAAGCGCGGACGAAGCATCTCGGCGTGCGAGTCCCCGAGAACCATGACGAGGTTGTCGTCATCGCCTGGGTTGAGCACCCAGCCATAGTCATACGGTCCAAACGGCGATCCTGGCGATAGCGGGATATAGCCGTCATTGGGGGCCCAGTCGCTGTCAGCAGCGAGGAGCTTGGCGACCGTCGGGGGCTCACGCCGTGGCATGCGACTAATGTTGGGCTGCCCGTCGTCGTCCAATGTGACGAAGGACGTCGCTGTGGCAACCGGTGCTGTCGCAGCGAGGCGGGCTGGGCCCGAAAAGAAGGCTGGGTACAAGGACACGACAAGCCCGAGGACAGCCATGAGAACCATACCGAGTGCGAGCAGCGGTACAATGCGAGGTGATGGGTGCCGGCGCACGACGTTCTCGATGCCGAACGTGGTCGCGACGCTCAGACCAAACGCAAGCAACAGTAGAACATGCGGCTGCATGTAGAACGGACGGTACGCATCGTCCGAGTAGCGGGCTTTGGCAAAGACGAGGAGCGGCCAGTGCCAGAGGTATAAGGCGTAGCTGATCTTGCCGACAAAGATAATCGGCGCTTGATGGAGGATTTGCGCATTGACGAGCGCCAACGGGCCGGCGACGATGAGACAGGCCGCGCCAAGCGTCGGCAAGAGAGCATAGACCCCCGGGAAGGGACTTGCTTCGTTTAGAAACGCGTAGCCGACGAGCAGCAACCCTGCGCCAAGGACAGAGAGCATGTCAGGAGACCTTGTTTCGAAACCTTTCTGGCGCTGAACGAACGCGACGAGACCGCCGGTGGCCATTTGCCAAAACCGGCAGAGCGGAAAGTAGAACGACCACGGGTGCTCGGCGTGCAAGAGGCCGACGTTCAAAAGGAAGCTGCCGACGACCAATACGATCTGCAGTGCGAGCGCAGACGTACGTGGCAGCGCCACAATCGACGCCGCGACGATTGGCCAGACCATATAAAACTGCTCTTCGACGCCGAGCGACCAGAGATGCAAGAGCGGATTTTCCTTGGTACTTGCGTCAAAGTAGCCTTGGTTCCGCGAGAGCACTTGGATGTTGGCGCCAAAGATCGCGCCGGCGTACAGCGTCTCGGCCATGTCGCGGAGCGCCGGCGCGAGGTACCAGGCGACGCTTAGGCTCAGCACGACGGCCATGACGAGGAGCAAGCTTGGAAAGATGCGGCGGACGCGGCGGACGTAGAACGTTTCGTAGCTGAATTTGCCGCTCGCAAAGTCTTTGAAGAGAATGCTCGAGATGAGAAAGCCGGAAATGACAAAGAAGACGTCGACGCCTGTAAAGCCACCTGGCAGGAGCGTCGGGTACGCGTGATAGAGCACGACGGGCAGCACGGCCACGCACCGGAGGCCGTCAATGTCGGGGCGGTACGCGATCGCATGCGGCGCCAAGAGCGCCGTCGACTCGGTGGCCATGGGATTCTGCTCGCAGCTCGGCTGGCGAGCGATCGCTTTTGCGTCAACATCTGCTTGGTTGAGTGTGATTGGCTCGTTCCTTGGGTTCATGAAGGGTCGAACCGCGCCAACTTCGGGTGCGGTAAGTGGGCAGCTAGGACTCTTGCTCGATACGTTGTTTGTGAAGCCGATGTCCCTGAAACGTAGTCTATGTCGAGCAGTCTTGCCGGCATACACCACTTTTTTGCTCGCAACGAGCTAAATCTTTGGCGTTGCAACCACGACGCCCTGGCGTCACGCAGGATAGACGCGCGGGGACTGTCTGTCCGCACTGGCGTGTCGACGACCACTCGCAGTCGACTCGTACGCGCGACGTATGGGCGCTCTGTCATGGCAGTTTCCAGCCATTTGGCGCCATAGCACCACGCCAACACGGTGTATAAACACGAATGCTGTTAGCATGTCATGATGCGTCAGCGTCCGCGGCAGTTTCTAGGCCGTTACATTCCTAGTCTACGTCGAAACGGCTTTGGCTACGTGGCCACCGTCGTCGTTGGACCCGTCACCTCGGCGCTCGCACAAGAACTCAAACCAACCTGCAGTGTTGGATACCGAGTTCTTTGCTGATTTGCACTCCTCCTTTGAACTGTTCAATGCGGTGTTTGCGCAGAACCCGCTTGTCACTGCAGCAACATTCAACAAGTTCGTGCCAGTACTGCTACTAGTACGGGCACTCGAGCTTGATCGCGCTCATTGCCCACTGGATCCTATGCTTGGAATCTTCCAGTATCCGGATGCGATCGGATGCACCGCCGATCTGAACCGGTGCAGCTGTTGGAGCCCGTGGTTGCACTAACCGGTTAAAGAACCGTTCGGCGCCAGCCACCGCTTGATAACCGTGACTCACTCGTAGTTCGAAGTGCAGAGTCAGGGTACGTGGCAGGCTTTATCTTGGCGGAACGACGTCGCGTGCGAAGTTCGAAGACGCTCTATGCCAGTCGTGGACGAAGTATCCAAGCGGCCGCAGGATGGTCGCGCTCGCTTGCTTCTCCGTCGCGGTGTCACAATCGAAGCAGATCAGTCGGAGCGACGATGAGCCTCAAGCACGCTGCCCTTACGGACCTCGCGGCGGCGCGCTCGGCCGACAAGCACTGGGCCATGCCGCCCAGTCCGTCCAAGCCATCGCCCCGTCGCTCCGAGATCGCCCGATCCTCTTCCTCGACGGACGCGGTGGCGGCGCTGCTCGTCGTCATGCAGCTGCCCGTCTTTGGCGACTACTGCTACCTCGACGAATGGGTCGCACTGGCCGCCACGTGCCAAGTGCTTCGCCAGGAGATGCGCATGTACACGCGCACCGTCGATATTGTACCGTTCCGCGCGGTCATCTCGGACCTCCACACGTCGCAGCTCCTCACCACGTTCAGCCACATTGCGACGCTGCAGCTCACAGGCTGCGCGACGATCACGGACGCTGGCCTTTCCGGCTTGTGTCACCTCTCGCAGCTGCACACGATCGACCTCAAGGGCTGTGACCGCATCACCGACGCGACCTTGATGCAGCTCGCATGCCTTCCTCGCCTCATCAATCTCAACCTCGGCTACTGCAGCAAGGTGACAGTTGACGGTATTCGCGCGATCGCCGCCAACGGGACGCTCGCAACGCTCGACCTCAAGAGCTGCAAGCTCGTGGATGACGCCGCCGTGAGCGCCCTCGCGCCACTCCGCACCACGCTTCGGGGGCTCAACCTCTGGTACTGCTTCCAAGGCCAGCTCAGCGATGCGATTTTCGAGACACTGTCGTCGTTTCTGCATTTGCGCCACCTCAACATTGCCAACTGCAGTCAGCTCTCGGATACGGGACTCGCCAAGCTCGCGGCGTGCACCGAGTTGGAGTCGCTCGAGCTCGCCAACCTCAGCGAATTGACGGACGTTGGCCTCCACGCCCTCACGCCGCTGCGCAAGATGATGTCGATCGACCTCTCGGGCTGCTACTCGGTGACGGACGCCGGCACGTCTGTCTTTCGATCGTGGCCGGCGCTCACGACCTGCAACCTGTGGTACTGCTCCAACATCACCGACGCGACCGTGACGGCGCTTAGCGGCTGCCACGACCTCATTTACTTGAACCTGATGAAGTGCATCCAGCTCACGAACGCGTCCATGGCTGTCCTTGCCAAGCTGCATTCGCTTCAAACCCTCGACCTCAGCAACTGCGACAAGATCACTGACGACGGCCTCGCGCTTCTTGCGATGCTGCCGCGCCTGTCGTCCATCAACTTGAGCGCATGCGGTGGTATCTCGGACTCTGGTGTCTACGCGTTGCGGTCGGTCTCGTCCCTGAAGACGCTGGATCTGAGCAACTGCCGACAGCTGGGCGACAAGGCGCTCGAGGGCATCGGCCACCTCTCCCAGCTCACTTCTCTCAATCTGATGCGCTGCAGCAGTATCACGGACGCAGGTGTCGCGCATCTTGCGCCCTTGTCGTCGCTCAGTTCGCTCAACATGGCCAACTGCCGGGACCTCACGGACGCTAGTCTTGCCGTGCTGGGCCAACGGCTCACCAGTCTCGAATCGCTTGTGCTGTGGTACTGCCACCTGCTCACGGACGCCGGCGTTGCCCACCTAAGCGCGCTCAAGCGCCTGACGTCACTGGATCTCGCGAGCTGCAACCTCTTGACCAACGATGCGCTCGTGGCGCTGGAGACGTTGCCGCTCGAGTCGCTCGACGTTGGCAACTGCTGCCTCATCAACGACGACGGAATGACCGCGCTGGCCCGCATCTCGACGCTCAAGTCGCTCAACTTGGCCGAGTGCGGCGACCTCACCGACGTCGGTATCGCGCATTTGACAGCGCTCTCCAACTTGACGTCCATCAACCTTTGGTATTGCGACAAGATCACCAACGAAGGCGTTAACGTGCTCGCCCGCGCCACATCGATCGCCGTCGATCGATAGAATATAGAATGTAACTTGCGTGTCAGTAGAACTTTCAATGTATCAAGTACGTCAGAAACGCCTGAAGTAAGACTTGTCGGTGAGGAAATGAATGGGAGCGTCAGAAAGCCTCGCAAAATGGCTCGACCGTAGAGACGCAAGGCACGACCGTGTTCTCCGCGTCCTGACACAAACTAGTACGGCCCCAGACGAGACAGGAAGTTCAAGAGAAATCGACTAGGACTATACAAGCTGTAGGGCAAGATATACAAAAATGCAAGCAACGTCAAGCACAATCAGCAACGGTGGCTGGCACGTGAGCCGTCAAATATACTCTACTTGATGAGCGGGAGGGCGCGGGCGAGGTGCGGTGCCGACGGGTGCGACGCTGTGGCAGCTTGAAGGTCGCTGCGATGCAGCACGAGCGTGCGCCACGTTTTGATGTCAAAGACATGGAGGTCGCCTTTGTACGAGCAGACAAGGAGGCCGGTCAAAGCTGCGGACGCAAAGTCGATGTAGTAGACGCGGTCGTGGACCCAACCTTTTCTCTCAAAGAGGTACTTGGCACTGCACGAGACCAAGAACGAGTCGCGCTCGTCCAGCGGCGGCAGTTTGTGACTGGCGCGATCCAGAATGTAGACGAGCATCGAGCCACCGAGCGCGATACCGACGAGCAAGAGCAGGCGAGAGACGGATCCAATGGCAACGACACCGCTGTGGCACACCATTTCAAAATCCATTTCACCCAGAGAACACGACCGCTGGATCGTTGCGCTGTGGGAGACAGGGTTCGTAAAACTCAGGACGATCGCAATCAGCCACGCCGTCATCGCTGTCTTGGTCGTGTAGCTCGCACTGTACTGGCGTGTCCACGCCATGCACAGGTCGTCAAAGATGTAGACAAGCCAGCCGAGCTCGCTCGCTGCGAGGATCTTGGTGATGTACGCAATGACTGGCTCCACGTCGTCTCTGGACGCCGTCAGTTGCGTCATGATCCCAGTCTTTTGGAGCTGAAGCGTGGCGGTGCTGAGAATGCAGAGTGCTGTGACACTCCGGACAAAGAGCAGCGGACGACCGATCCAGATCAAGCCACCAACGCGGTTGACTTCAAAGAGGTTGTAGCCCTCGCTCGTGCAGCCATTTGCCAGCGTGTAGAGTCCCGCGATCAACGCAATTGCAGCTAGAACGAACGAGACGTATTGACAGAGTCCTCGGAGGTACGTGGCGACGTTGAGCGGCATTTCGATACCGCTAGCGGCAAAGGTAGCTCGAAACGCCATCGTTGAGAGGATAGCGAGCGAGCTCACGTCTCCATCCAATCGAATGACCTCCCGAGCACCAACATCGTCGCCGGCCCGTCGGCGCTCATCAATGCGCAAATCCTCCATCAAGCGCCGATTATCTTTGTCGGCAAGATCAGCTACGCCTTGTACCTCTGGCACTGGCCGCTCCTCGTCTTTGCCAAAGCCCGCTACTCGGACGATGCGTACCGTCCGTTCTACATGCAGCCGTATGTTCTAGTGTTGCTTGCGTTTGGTCTGAGCGTCGCGACCACGTTCGGTATCGAGAACGTCGTGCGCCGACACCCGTCGCCTCGCATTGTACCGCTGCTCGCACTCGGTATGGCTCTCATGGCTGTCCTCGGGCTTGTCGTGTCCTTGCACCCAGCCTTCTTTTCGGGCCCAGCCCGCCTCGCTGCAACAGCACCGGTTGCCACACGGCGTCCTTCGTCACATTGGACGACGATGGGCAGCCCAACATTAGTCGCATGCCACGGCGTGAGCCCCCGACGGTCGCCAAGCTCCTCGCCGCTGACAGCGACTGGGCCCCCAATGACGGCTATATCCCGCTACCGCCAGGATCGCCGTTTGGCCAGTATGACTATGGCTGGGTGCTCAACCCAGGCGATGACGACAACCTCGTCATGGTTCTCGGGGACTCGCACGCCGAGATGCTTCGTCCGCGCTTCAAGTTTCTTTACGACCAAGCGCGGCGCGTGGGAAAGCCGTTTCCGACGGTGGTGTTTTTGGCGCTGGGTGGCCACCCGCCGCTGGACTGCGTCGGCGACCACGCTGGTCATGTGGCGATCGTGACCCGTCTCCGGCCCAAGGCACTGCTCTACTCGAGCGACTGGCCGCAGTTCTTTCGTCCGACTGGCGAGGCGCCGCACGACGTGCCACGTTGCTGCGCCGCGGG